GCCCAAGGGACATTGACTGATTAAAGGGCCCTCCAGTTTCAAGATCAAATGTGCCCTCAAACTGGCGAGATAACACAAGGCCACATTTAACAATCCAGAGGACCCGGACAGATATAAATCAAGATTATGGGGTGCTCATCAAAGGGAAACAAGGATCCTACGAAAGAAACTTTCAGAACATTCACATGACCTAGGTATGCCCAGCTTCACAAAAGCCCCAGCTGGGCTCTCACTGGCTGCGTGTGACTCGTGTGTGTGTGTGTATGTGTGTGTGTGCGTTGGGGCTGTGTCTGTGTCTAAAGCTTCACGTTTGCTGAATCTCCTGGAAACATCACTAATGGTCTCTCTCAAGCCTTAATCCCCAAATTGAAGCAAATGATACTTCCTTTCATGGCTGACAATTGTAGGCACGTGGCGCTACTACAAACTCACTGATTCTGAAAGTGGTTATTGAATATCGACCTGTCTGACATAAGGCTTCAGGCTGGATTAGGTCTCAGTAATGAAATTCATTAAAAAAAATAAGTTCCTATTAAATGTAAGAACATATGTACTGGGCATTGGAAGTGTACACAGATAAGAACATTCTCAGAGTAATTATAATCTGGGAATGCTAGAAGGGCGAAAATGAGCAAGTACGCCAGAAACATAACACCAACGGGACAGAACGCACACTGTCAGAGCTGCAAGGTGTCTCAGCTGGGCCCAGAGAGGACGCTCGCATCTCACTGCGGACATCCAGAAGTTGCTCTGGAGGTGGTCTTTAAAGCACACGGTGAGGATGAGGCAGGATTCCACCGCACTCCTGTGGGAAGAAACGCTGCTTGCAGCCAAAGCCGGCCTTTAATGCGGAAGAGATGGCGTATGTTCTTCGGTGCGCGGCACACGCTCGGATGCAGGGACAGATCTCACTGGACGGGCAGCCTAGGAGCTAAGTGACGGCTCTACGCGTCTCTCTCTCTCCTTCTCTTACATACAAGACTTTTACTCAGTGTGTGTATGGAATTCATATTTCAACAAGTTCCCCAGGCAATTTTTAATGCATACTGGAGTCTGAAAACCACTTCTGTAAAAGAATCTATGAAAACATGGAGTCAGGGAATGCAGCTAATTTGCAAGATGGTTTTTGGGGAAAAAAAAGTGACATGTCTCTGAGCATGAGTAACAAAGAGGTGAGGTACTCTTTTCTTCTCCTGTAATTTTTAAAAAATAAACATCACTTCAGCCAACGATCAACAAACGTTCACTGAGACAAACACTGAGCTAGGTACTTGCACACGTATGTCTTCATTTCGTCTTCACCACACTGTGCACAAGCGTATCTCTGAGGGTAAACTAAAAGCCCGTTGAGTCTTCTTGTTGAAGGACGATGAAAGAAATAGTTCTGATCCTTAATTTCCAATTCCTTTTTCTACGCTCTACCATAACCTCTAATTATTCCTGCTTCTATACACATGCCTACTAGACACCAGAGACACCACAAGAGGACCTCAAAGCAAAGCCACCCGGCTTCTGCTCCAGTCTGGGGCACATCCCTTCTTGGCTTGGGGGACCACACGTTAGCCTTTCTGTTACCCTTTAGCCTAGACAGACTCTCTGGTCACCTCGTGCCCTTACCTCTAGGACCACCTTCTGGGAAAAGGCTCCGCTAACATCCTGGTCTTCAGTTCCAGGAAGGGGCTGTCTAACCCGCTCACTTCCTTCTCCTCTCCCTGGACCCCCTCCGTCCCCAGAGCCTGCTCTGAAGCCTCTGAAGAAGCAGTAAGGCTTTCCTTGATGGGCCCTCAGACTCGTTCAAGAATGCAAATCCGGCCTTTGTTTCTTACAGATGAGTTCTCTTTGGTTCTTACAGACGCAACTTTTTGAACTTCCATTGTAACATTCAGCCCGTCACGGCTAAGCCACCACCCAAAACTTCAGTCATTTAACGTGGCAAAGGTTTACTTCCGTCTCCTGCCGCAGTCGCAGTCCAACGAGGGACACGTGCGGGGATGGGGAGACCTGATGGTTTAAGGACCCAGACACCTGTATCGTCAGAGCCTCGCACTGGCTTATCTTCATCCTCCAACAAGGAGGCTGGAAGGCAGCGGACGGCACGAGGGCTTCAGGGACCAGGAACAGAAATGCTACGCATCGTGTCTGTCAGCACTCCGCTGACTGGAGCCCCGTCTCACGTCCTCAGCTGCCCGCAGAACAAGGTGGTGAGCGCAGCTTACTTTTACGCCAGGAGGAAAACAAAACAGCTCGGCGAGCAGAGTCTGCCGCTGAATGTCAGCAGCATTTATTTATCTATTTTTTAGTGTACGCGTTTATTTATTTATAAACTGACGTATAATCAAGTTTGTAACATTGTGTCAACTTCGGGTGCACAGCATAATGTTTCCATCACCCATATACACACATATACTCCGTTTCATAGTCTTTCTCATCACAGGTCACTACAAGACGCTGAATACACCTCCCTGTGCTCTACAGCAGGACCTTGTTGTTGAATGCCATCAGTACTGAAGGCTGCTGTTACGCATCTTAAGTATAAATCACCGTTCCTTTACCCACTTCATTAGCAGTTTAGTCTGCTGTGGGTTGTCTGAGTCATACTAGTGATGCATACCTTTCCAACAGCATTTTTGGCCTAAATTGTTCAGTTATTAGACTTCAATGTATGTATACATGTCTGCTGCAATTTGAATATGACTCCACATACTTGTTGCTAATGTAACACACACAAAATGTTTTTGTTGGTTGAATGATTACTTCATTGGTAATATGTTGCCAGAGCTACTGAAATAACTGGAAACATGGCTAAAATAAGTAAAAAACCAAGGCTACTGTTATCTTTAAGTTTCAAAGATAAGATATTTAACACGAAACCTTGTTTATTAAGGGTGATTCATATACGGTGCTAACCAGCATTTATTATAAATTGTTCAATGAATTCCTCTCCAGTATTTGACAACACTGAATTACACCTTCCCCACTGGACAGCAGGACCTGGGAGTTTAAGTTAAAGTGTCCTTGGTCCCTCCTGTGTGGACCCACTAGGACTGTCACCTAATTGTGTAATTGTGTGTCCCCAAGGATGCCACTGACCCACACATCCTTGAACCACCTCACTAGTCCTATTCTTTAAGGGGACGGGTAAGTGGATGGGGTGAGATGCCGCCTTAATCCGCGCCCTGATGCATTCCCAGGAACCACACAGCCAACTGAAGCTTTTAAATACGGATTACATCAATTTGATTACTTCATACTAAACAGTACAGAACAAAGAGTGTCCCACGTGAGAACCCATCCTCTAGCCCTGATCCTGCTCTCATGCGTCGTGAAATCTAACGCACGTCTTAGGTGGCAATACCGAGGGGTCAGATTCCTCATCTATAAGAAACAACGCAACCTTCAAGTTCCTTTTCCGATCAAACATTACATGACTCTGCGACCGCGGCTTTATTGTAACACAGATGGATGGTATTTGATTGTACTGGGTTTGATGATGACCTGCACAGAAATGGGAAAATGATGCTTCTGTGCAGAGATGTTAGAAAACTATATAAGAAATAATAAGTGGTTCAGTATGTCTAATGCATCACTTAACTTTTTACCTTGCAATGCCCTTTGAGATAAAGGGGAAAGAGCGGATATAAACAGACAATATTGATAGTCAAGGTGAAAAAAACCACACAAGTAATAAATACCAAAATAGTTATTTTCCTGGATGGAAAAAGCAACGGAGGAGAAGCTGCACAGAAAGAAGCTGGGGATCAAAGCGTGCAATCAATTCAAATCAGTTTCTCCTGCGTGAAAGAAAAATGTCAGGGTCTGTGCAAGATGACTATAAAGTTGAATTATTCAACAAAACAAGGAGGAAGCATTGCAGCATCAATCTTATTCCACACCCAGAAGAGCTGGCTTGAGCTGATAACTTATTTTCCTATAAAGAAATATAAAGTGAACATGATAAAGAAAACAGACCAAAAATATTAGGGGTACAGTTTTGATCAAGATGGAAAAAGAAGAGAAGAGGCGGATTTTTACTGAAATTTTCCATCTCAAAACTGTCGAGTAGGACTGTTTAGAAACAACGGAAAGATAGAAAAACTTATGCGAGTAAGACTCCACAGATGACGGGGACAGAAGCACTAGGTTAAAGTTCTAGGAAACTAATGGCTAATCCTGCAAAAAGAGTTTGTTCCAATCTTTGAAAGCATTTCTAACGTACTCTGGCACTCTTGGAGCAGGAGAGAGTCATTTAGAGTCAAAACAAACAACATACAATGGTGTGGATACATGAGTTATAGACAACTGAACTGCATCAGAACCAGACCGCAGACCATCACTATTACAGACATAAGATCTTTATCATCCCTACATTATATGGATGTAAGGTCTTTATTATTAACTTCATGGAACTGCACATGTCAGGATTATCTTTTGCTTAAATGCTGAACATGGGGGTAGAAAGAGCAGAATACAATCTACTTTAGTGATTATCTTCATTTGCTTGAGTGAGAGCACCACTGATGAAGTGTAAATACAAACTAAAGATGCTGGTTTTTAACCAGGTCTTGTCTGAAAGCTGCAATAAGTAGGTCAGTTACTGTCAAGCTATTTATAATACTTCTTTTGGCTTTACTGTCCAAGCTCCAGAACACTCTATGCAGACCGTACCTTATTCTGAATTGAAAAAAAAAATCATGAAATCTATTTGTTGTCCTCAGATAACAAGCCCCAAACAATGTAAAGATCTGTTTCCCAATATTGAGTTAAAAGACTATCTTCTTGAATAACGCTTCTTCCTCGGCATTTCCCCCCACAAAGTTTTCCTTGGCACTTGCCTTGTCTTCACAACTAGAGAGGAAGCTCATCAGGGTCTAATCATGTCGGGGGTGGTTAATCAGAAGCCAACGCAGGCGATCGACAAGATGAAAAGGCGTCCTAGAGAATGGGAGGAAATATTTGCAAACCGTACACCTCACAAGCGGTTAATATCGGAAACACACAAGGTGCTCGCTCTGGCAGCACACACACCAACACTGGACGGACACAGAGGTTAGCGTGGTCCCTGCACAAGGACGGCATGCACATTTGTGAAGCGCTCCATGCCTTGGAGGGATTAACAGATACAAACTCTGTATACAGAACAGACAGACAAGGTCCTCTGTACAGCACAGGGAACTATATTCAATACCTTGGAATAGCCTTTAATGAAAAAGAATATATATATGTACGTGTGTGTGTGTGTGTGTATATATATATATATATACACACATACCTGAATCACTATGCTGTAACCAGAAATTAACACATTGTAAACTGAATATACATCAATTAAAAAAAATTAAACGAATTATACAAGGAACTCGTATAATTCAATAGCAAAAACACCAAATAATCCAGTTAAAAACGTGCACAGGTCCTGAATAGGTATTTTTACAAGGAAGACATACAGATGGTCAACAAGTGCATGAAAAGATGCTCAATATCACTAACCATCAGGCAAACCAAAACCACAATAAGACATCACCTCGCCCTTCTCAGGACGTCTGTTATCAAACAGCCAAGAGATCAGTGCTGGCAAGGATCAGTCTGTGATGGAATAGAATTCATTCTTAAAAAAAGGAAATCCTACCATTTGCAACAACATGGATGAACTCCGAGGGCATCCATGCAGTGAAGTAAGTCAGACAGAGAAAGACAAACACTGTATGATCTCACTTACGTGTGGATTCTCGGAAAGCCGAACTCATTGCAAGCAGATTAATGGTTGCCAGGGGTGGTGGAAATAAGGGTATGTTGCTGAGAAGGTACAACTTCTGGTCGTAAGAGGAATGCATTCTGGGGATGTCAGGAACCGCGTGGTGACTGCAGTCAACAACACTGAACTGCACATGTCAAAGGTGCTAAGAGAGCAGATGTTCAATATTCTCACCACAACAAAAATAACAAAACACTAATCATATGAGGTGAGGGATGTGTTAACTAACTCTATCTTGATAAACATTTTACAGTATGTGTGTATCAAACCTTGACACTGTGTACCTTAAACTTGCACAATGTTACATGCCAGTGATGTCTCAATAAAGCCGGGAAAATGTTTTTTAAAAACCCAACACAGGGCTGTGCATACTTAGTCTTAATTCTTCTTCCTCTTTTTTTTTCCAAACAACAAGATCAAAATATACGAGATATTAGAGAATAATTCATTTGAAGATACTGTTTCTTAGATGAGAAATTAAGACCTGAGATGAAAAGAAAGAAACACAGCTTAATTAGCGATGATGCCATCCTGCTGCCTTTCTCTCGTGGAAAACAGCAGAACGCACTGGAGCGCTCAGGCGTTCACTGCGCCAAGAAGAGCCACCCCGTCGTTCAGCGCTGGCGGCATGGGATGGAGACACACTAGTTATAACAGTGACGCTTATATTTTCAACAACGCATTTCAGCTTCATTATGTAATATTACAATGACTCCTGCTATTTCAATGGAAGCCCACACAAAACTAGGTCAGTATTTTTTCACTGTGATATTTAATAAATTACCAAAGCAGTAAGTTCATAAAGCGTACAATCGGATGCAAACCAGTTAGTTTTTCCTCTGCCTATACTAAAAAAAAGATCATATTCTAATGAATGTATTGATCTTTCATCCCTTAAATACCCTCATATGAACTTTATAATTATCATAAAAGGCAACAAATTGCAGCCCACTGAAACAGAGTGCACATTTTAAGGGCTTTTTAAAAGGCAATGCTGTTAAGTACTTTTATGCTTTAAAAAGACAACCATACTTGAGCTCGGATTTTATTCCATCCATGAGAGCACAAAGAGTACCAAAAAAATGGCAAAAACACTGAAATACATTATTTCAACAGTACGCACGGACTTACACAGCATCAATTATCTTTAGAAATTCAGAACAGAAGGCCAGATTGGCTTAATAGCACCAACAATTTTGAGTTGTTCTTTTTGGTTTTTAGGAGCATTTTTTTTAAGTAGCATTTTCAAATGATTTCATGCCAACAGTTCATTAAAGCCTTACAATCATTCACATTGAAATAAGAAATATAACCCGAAAGCATGGATTTAACCAAAAACAGAAAAATGTACCTATTTATTTAGAATATACAGCTTTTCAGCTTATCTTTAGTTTCATGTTTTTAAAAGCCATGTCTTTATAAAAAGCAGTTGAAGAGTCACATTCAGTTTGAAAAGTGTTCCATGTGTCCGTAACTTCTTTGATTTTGGCATTTATCTAATTCTTAAAATTTTGGGATTCGATGGGACTGGTATCAGTGTTTGACAAACAAGAATTCTGACACACAATGGCTGGTTGTACCAGGTGGCTTCTGGCAGAAGCAGCCCCTCCCTGGCCCCCCGAGCACATATGAGAAGCCACAGGACACCTCCATCCGGCGTCGGTAACACCGAGCCCCATCTGGTAGGTTAAGGGTCTTTCAAGAGAAATTCAGCACCAAGGGGGAACATGGTTCCAAAAGAAAGCTGATAAACACTGCATAACATGGAGGTTCTAAGGAAAACACACGAACTCACATCTACATGTAATTGTTTCAAATTCACAAAGAATCATTTGGCAACTGTTGCCCAAAGTAACGATTCGTCTCATGTATCAATTTGCATTAGTCTAACGTGTCAATGATCACACTGATCTATCATCGTGGCCAAGATACAGCACCCAGATATTTAATCAAGTACTAATGCGGGCTTCTGGGGTCACGGCATTTGGCAGATGTGTGAAAACTGACAATCAGTTCACTCTAAGTAAAGGACATCACCCTTGGTAATGTGGGTGGCCTCATCCAATCAGCTGGAAGACGTTAATAGCAAAGACCACGAACTGCTGAAGGAGGAGGAATTCTGCCTCAAGACTCCTGTCTGGGTTCCCGGCCTGCTAGCCTGGCCCACGTGCCAGTCCCCACAATCATGTGACCCAATTCCTTAAAATAAATCTCTTAATACATGTACATACATATCCTACCAGTTCTGTTTCTCAGCAGAACCCTTCCTGATAAGCGTACCCTCTCTTTTACTTGGCTTATGGATGCCCCTCACCCACCAAATATGTATGTGTGCATGTGTGCATGCGTGTGTGTGCGCGTGTGTGTGCTACTTTGCTCTTTATGGCGGGGTTGGGAGAAAGGCCTTTCTGAACGAGTGTTTTAAATTAGCATTTACATAATGCTTACTGTGTGTTGGTCATTGATCTACACACTTTGCCTATAGTAGCAACTACCACATAAAATAGGTACAAGCATTATTCCCATTGCACAGATGAGGAAACTGAGGCCTATGGGAGATTAACTGACATCACACAGTCAGCAGCCAGCCTCCGGAGCAGCGCTGCTGTGCTGCCTTAGCACGGGTGAGCGTAGGGTGTGTTTTGGAGTCAGGCTGCTCAAGCTAAACTACGGCTTCAGACGTGAGACAGAGGGGGAGGGACAAAGCAGAACGCACGCCGCTGACTTAAGCAACTGAGCTGTTAGTCCCACGTCTAAGTGAGGGGTGGGGGGAACTAAAGAAGGCTGTGCTTGGTTTGAGTGGGAGCAGTATTACAGAGATGTGTCTTCAGCCAAGGCCCAGAGGTAAAAGGTTTAGAGTCACACAGAGCATACAGAGGGGGCTGCCGAGGAGAGAAGAAAGGAGAGCCCAGGCCTGGGCCCCGGGACACGCCAAAATTTAGAATCTTAAGCAGACGTGGAACCAGAAAGGGATGGAGGAAAGGAGATGCTGTGAGGCCAAGGGCAGTGAGAGAAAGGGGTGGCCCCAGAGGGAGGGGTGGCCGTCAACTTCAGATGATGCTACTGGGAGGCAGGGCAAAGCTGCAGAGAGAGACGGCCAGACACGGCTGCACCCAATGACTGACCAGAGCAGGTCCCATGGGGCGGTCAGCCTGAGAGCCAGAAGGGTGCAGGCGAGAAGGAGAACACTCAGAGACAGCAAATTTATTATAAAAATTCACGGGAAGTAAACAAGTTTCTACTGTAGAGCACAGGGAATTGAATTAAATATCTTACAGCAACTTATAATGAAAAAGAATGTGAAAAGGAACACACACATGCAATGTATGACTGAAGCATTACGCTGTGCACTAGACATTTACACAACGTGGTAAACTGGCCAAAAAACATTCATGGGAAAGAGACTTGTGACAGAGAGAGAACAGCAACACGTCCACGGCGGACTGAGGCAGTGGCTTCACGGGTGCAGGGACTCCCTGTGCAACTGTCCACCTTTGCTCTGCGTGAACATTTTCATAAGGAAACGATGGGGGGAACGCATGGGAAATACGGCCATCAAATTCAGGACTGTGGCTCCCCGGCCACGCCGAGCAGTGGGAGCAGGAGGGGAAGGAGACACGGACTCCGAGGCCGACCAAGGCAGCTCGACTGCATGGACGTGTCGTTTCCCAAGCAGAGGGGTCGGCGCACAGGGCTCCTGGTAGTCCCCACGTGCTTCTGTCCATATCACATTGCACAGTGAGAAGAAAACTGACCAGCGGGGAAGGAAACTGAATGGGTGGGTGTGAATTACTCTTTGAGAAGTTTTGTTTGAAAAAAAGCAGAATAACGGGGTGGTGGTGGGAGGGGGTCTGCAACTAGGTGAGACTTTCCGTGTGTTTCTTACCCGACTGTGAGATTTGCTTGTTGTTTGGACTGTTGCAGTAGAAAGGAAGAAACTGGTCACTCCAGAGTGGGATGACCACCCAAGTCACGTCCTCCAGAGGGTGACAGGGCAGGAACCACGAGCTCCAGTGGAGGGACCAGGCCTTGGGGGATGAGTTTTTGACTCATGGGAACAAAAGAACAGGTAAACAGCATCAGGCAGTGACTCTTAGAAAGAAGTCACTCACCTGTTGCTTTTCTCTCCAATTTAACAGGAAGCCCATTATCAGCTGCTAAGGACGAAGCTGTCCGTCCGCTTAGCCTCACCATGACGGGACCGCATCGCCACGATTTAGCGTGAGGTCTGGTTTCTCCACATTGCCTGGTGTGTCACCGCAGAGGGCGTGCACTTGGCACGATTCTGCGTGGCTTTAGCAGCTGTCTGCCTTCCCATTTATTTTCTTTTCCAAAAGCATGCTCGCTCAGTC